GCGGTTTTTGCTATCTGTTTTTTGAAAAAAAAGATGTCGAGTTGAATCCTGCTGGCTGCGATACCTTTTACCTTGAAATACAATTCCTATTTTGTTGAGATTTGTAATCATTCGGAGCAGCCATGGCCGAGTGGTTAAGGCGTCTGACTAGAAATCAGATGTGATCATCACGCGCAGGTTTGAATGCTGCTGGCTGCGATACGCACTAGCAAGAGGGGCAGGTTTTTAGAAGGCTCAAAAAAGTATTTTTTTTCTCAGATTTGCTTCAAATATCGAGTTATTGCGGTTTTTGCTATCTGTTTTTTGAAAAAAAAAAGATGTCGAGTTGAATCCTGCTGGCTGCGATACCTTTTACCTTGAAATACAATTCCTATTTTGTTGAGATTTGTAATCATTCGGAGCAGCCATGGCCGAGTGGTTAAGGCGTCTGACTAGAAATCAGATGTGATCATCACGCGCAGGTTTGAATGCTGCTGGCTGCGATACGCACTAGCAAGAGGAGGAGTTTTTCAGATGGGTCAGTAGAGTATGTTCTTTCTCAGATTTGTTTCGAGTATTGAGTTATTGCGGTTTTTGTATCTGATTTTTGAAAAAAAAAGATGTCGTGTTGAAACAAAATTTTAAAATTGACATATGCTTTTACCTTGAAATAGAGTACTTTTTTTGAGATTTTTTCCATCCTTCGTAGCAGCCATGGCCGAGTGGTTAAGGCTTCTGACTGGAAATCAGATGTGATCTTCACGCGCAGGTTCGAAGCTGCTGGCTGCGATTCGTACAAGCAAGAGGGGCAGTTTCTTAGATGGGTCAGTAGAGTATGTTTTTTCTCAGATTTGTTTCGAGTATTAAGTTATTGCGGTTTTTGTATCTGATTTTTGAAAAAAACATGTCGCGTTGAATCAAATTTTTAAAATTGACATATGCATTTGCTTGAAATACAGTACCTATTTTTTTGAGATTTTTGCATCATTCGGATCAGCCATGGCTGAGTGGCTAAGGCGTCTGACTAGAAATCACATGTGATCATCACGCGCAGGTTCGAATCCTGCTGGCTGCGATACGCACTAGCAAGAGGGCGAGTTTTTCAGATGGGGCAAGTAGAGTAAGTTTTTTCTCAGATTTTTTTTCGAATATTGAGTTATTGCGGTTTTTGTATCTGATTTTTGAAAAAAAAAGATGTCGCGTTGAATCAAAATTTTAAAATTGACATATGCATTTACCTTGAAATACAGTACCTATTTTTCGAAAACTTTCCATCATTCGGAGCAGCCATGGCCGAGTGGTTAAGGCGTCCGACTAGAAATCAGTTGTGATCATCACGCGCAGGTTCGAATCCTGCTGGCTGCGATACGCATTAGCAAGAGGTGGAGTTTTTTAGATGGGTCAGTAGAGTATGTTTTTTATCAGATTTGTTTCGAGTATTGAATTTTTGCGGTTTTTGTATCTGATTTTTGAAAAAAAAAAGATGTCGCGTTGAATCAAAATTTTAAAATTGACATATACATTTACCATGAAATACAATACCTTTTTTTGAGATTTTTCCATCATGCAGAACAGCCATGGCCGAGTGGTTAAGGCGTCTGACGAGAAATCAGATGTGAGCATCACGCGCAGGTTCGAATCCTGCTGTCTGCGATTCGTACAAGCAAGAGTGGCAGTTTTTTTAGATGGGTCAGTAGAGAATGTTTTTTCTTAGATTTGTTTCGAGTATTGAGTTATTGCGGTTTTTGTATCTGATTTTTGAAAGAAAAAAGATGTCGCGTTGAATCAAAATTTTAAAATTGACATATACATTTACCATGAAATACAATACCTTTTTTTGAGATTTTTCCATCATGCAGAACAGCCATGGCCGAGTGGTTAAGGCGTCTGACGAGAAATCAGATGTGAGCATCACGCGCAGGTTCGAATCCTGCTGTCTGCGATTCGTACAAGCAAGAGTGGCAGTTTTTTAGATGGGTCAGTAGAGAATGTTTTTTCTTAGATTTGTTTCGAGTATTGAGTTATTGCGGTTTTTGTATCTGATTTTTGAAAGAAAAAAGATGTCGCGTTGAATCAAAATTTTAAAATTGACATTTGCAGTTACCTTGAAATACAGTACCTATTTTTTGAGATTTTTCCATCATTCGGAGCAGCCATGGCCGAGTGGTTAAGTCGTCTGACTAGAAATCAGATGTGATCTTCACGCGCAGGTTCGAATCCTGCTGGCTGCGATTCGTACAAGCAAGAGGTGCAGTTTCTTAGATGGGTCAGTAGAGTATGTTTTTTCTCAGATTTGTTTCGAGTATTAAGTTATTGCGGTTTTTGTATCTGATTTTTGAAAAAAACATGTCGCGTTGAATCAAATTTTTAAAATTGACATATGCATTTGCTTGAAATACAGTACCTATTTTTTTGAGATTTTTGCATCATTCGGATCAGCCATGGCTGAGTGGCTAAGGCGTCTGACTAGAAATCACATGTGATCATCACGCGCAGGTTCGAATCCTGCTGGCTGCGATACGCACTAGCAAGAGGGCGAGTTTTTCAGATGGGGCAAGTAGAGTAAGTTTTTTCTCAGATTTTTTTTCGAATATTGAGTTATTGCGGTTTTTGTATCTGATTTTTGAAAAAAAAAGATGTCGCGTTGAATCAAAATTTTAAAATTGACATATGCATTTACCTTGAAATACAGTACCTATTTTTCGAAAACTTTCCATCATTCGGAGCAGCCATGGCCGAGTGGTTAAGGCGTCCGACTAGAAATCAGTTGTGATCATCACGCGCAGGTTCGAATCCTGCTGGCTGCGATACGCATTAGCAAGAGGTGGAGTTTTTTAGATGGGTCAGTAGAGTATGTTTTTTATCAGATTTGTTTCGAGTATTGAATTTTTGCGGTTTTTGTATCTGATTTTTGAAAAAAAAAAGATGTCGCGTTGAATCAAAATTTTAAAATTGACATATACATTTACCATGAAATACAATACCTTTTTTTGAGATTTTTCCATCATGCAGAACAGCCATGGCCGAGTGGTTAAGGCGTCTGACGAGAAATCAGATGTGAGCATCACGCGCAGGTTCGAATCCTGCTGTCTGCGATTCGTACAAGCAAGAGTGGCAGTTTTTTAGATGGGTCAGTAGAGAATGTTTTTTCTTAGATTTGTTTCGAGTATTGAGTTATTGCGGTTTTTGTATCTGATTTTTGAAAGAAAAAAGATGTCGCGTTGAATCAAAATTTTAAAATTGACATATACATTTACCATGAAATACAATACCTTTTTTTGAGATTTTTCCATCATGCAGAACAGCCATGGCCGAGTGGTTAAGGCGTCTGACGAGAAATCAGATGTGAGCATCACGCGCAGGTTTGAATCCTGCTGTCTGCGATTCGTACAAGCAAGAGTGGCAGTTTTTTAGATGGGTCAGTAGAGAATGTTTTTTCTTAGATTTGTTTCGAGTATTGAGTTATTGCGGTTTTTGTATCTGATTTTTGAAAGAAAAAAGATGTCGCGTTGAATCAAAATTTTAAAATTGACATATGCAGTTACCTTGAAATACAGTACCTATTTTTTGAGATTTTTCCATCATTCGGAGCAGCCATGGCCGAGTGGTTAAGTCGTCTGACTAGAAATCAGATGTGATCTTCACGCGCAGGTTCGAATCCTGCTGGCTGCGATTCGTACAAGCAAGAGGTGCAGTTTCTTAGATGGGTCAGTAGAGTATGTTTTTTCTCAGATTTGTTTCGAGTATTAAGTTATTGCGGTTTTTGTATCTGATTTTTGAAAAAAACATGTCGCGTTGAATCAAATTTTTAAAATTGACATATGCATTTGCTTGAAATACAGTACCTATTTTTTGAGATTTTTGCATCATTCGGATCAGCCATGGCTGAGTGGCTAAGGCGTCTGACGAGAAATCAGATGTGAGCATCACGCGCAGGTTCGAATCCTGCTGTCTGCGATTCGTACAAGCAAGAGTGGCAGTTTTTTAGATGGGTCAGTAGAGAATGTTTTTTCTTAGATTTGTTTCGAGTATTGAGTTATTGCGGTTTTTGTATCTGATTTTTGAAAGAAAAAAAATGTCGCGTTGAATCAAAATTTTAAAATTGACATATGCAGTTACCTTGAAATACAGTACCTATTTTTTGAGATTTTTCCATCATTCGGAGCAGCCATGGCCGAGTGGTTAAGTCGTCTGACTAGAAATCAGATGTGATCTTCACGCGCAGGTTCGAATCCTGCTGGCTGCGATTCGTACAAGCAAGAGGTGCAGTTTCTTAGATGGGTCAGTAGAGTATGTTTTTTCTCAGATTTGTTTCGAGTATTAAGTTATTGCGGTTTTTGTATCTGATTTTTGAAAAAAACATGTCGCGTTGAATCAAATTTTTAAAATTGACATATGCATTTGCTTGAAATACAGTACCTATTTTTTGAGATTTTTGCATCATTCGGATCAGCCATGGCTGAGTGGCTAAGGCTTCTGACTAGAAATCACATGTGATCATCACGCGCAGGTTCGAATCCTGCTGGCTGCGATACGCACTAGCAAGAGGGCGAGTTTTTCAGACGGGGCAAGTAGAGTAAGTTTTTCTCAGATTTTTTTCGAATATTGAGTTATTGCGGTTTTTGTATCTGATTTTTGAAAAAAAAAAGATGTCGCGTTGAATCAAAATTTTAAAATTGACATATGCATTTACCTTGAAATACAGTACCTATTTTTCGAAAACTTTCGATCATTCGGAGCAGCCATGGCCGAGTGGTTAAGGCGTCCGACTAGAAATCAGTTGTGATCATCACGCGCAGGTTCGAATCCTGCTGGCTGCGATACGCATTAGCAAGAGGTGGAGTTTTTTAGATGGGTCAGTAGAGTATGTTTTTTATCAGATTTGTTTCGAGTATTGAGTTTTTGCGGTTTTTGTATCTGATTTTTGAAAAAAAAGAGATGTCGCGTTGAATCAAAATTTTAAAATTGACATATACATTTACCATGAAATACAGTACCTTTTTTTGGGATTTTTCCATCATGCAGAACAGCCATGGCCGAGTGGTTAAGGCGTCTGACGAGAAATCAGATGTGAGCATCACGCGCAGGTTCGAATCTTGCTGTCTGCGATTCGTACAAGCAAGAGTGGCAGTTTTTTAGATGGGTCAGTAGAGAATGTTTTTTCTTAGATTTGTTTCGAGTATTGAGTTATTGCGGTTTTGTATCTGATTTTTGAAAGAAAAAAGATGTCGCGTTGAATCAAAATTTTAAAATTGACATATGCATTTACCTTGAAATACAGTACCTATTTTTTGAGATTTTTCCATCATTCGGAGCAGCCATGGCCGAGTGGTTAAGTCGTCTGACTAGAAATCAGATGTGATCTTCACGCGCAGGTTCGAATCCTGCTGGCTGCGATTCGTACAAGCAAGAGGGGCAGTTTTTTAGATGGGTCAGTAGAGCATGTTTTTTCTCAGATTTGTTTCGAGTATTAAGTTATTGCGGTTTTTGTATCTGATTTTTGAAAAATAGATGTCGCGTTGAATCAAATTTTTAAAAATGACATATGCATTTGCTTGGAATACAGTACCTATTTTTTGAGATTTTTCCATCATTCGGATCAGCCATGGCCGAGTGGTTAAGGCGTCTGACGAGTAATCAGATGTGATCATCACGCGCAGGTTCGAATCCTGCTGGCTGCGATACGCACTAGCAACAGGGGCATTTTTTTAGATGGGTCAATAGGGTATTTTTTTTCTCAGATTTGTTTCGAATATTAAGTTATTGCGGTTTTTGTATCTGATTTTTGAAAAAAAAGATGTCGCGTTGAATCAAATTTTTAAAATTGACATATGCTTTTACCTTGAAATAGAGTACCCTTTTTGAGATTTTTTCCATCCTTCTTAGCAGCCATGGCCGAGTGGTTAAGGCGTCTGACTAGAAATCAGATGTGATCTTCACGCGCAGGTTCGAATCCTGCTGGCTGCGATTCGTACAAGCAAGAGGGGCAGTTTTTTAGATTGGTCAGTAGAGCATGTTTTTTCTCAGATTTGTTTCGAGTATTAAGTTATTGCGGTTTTTGTATCTGATTTTTGAAAAAAAGATGTCGCGTTGAATCAAATTTTTAAAAATGACGTATGCATTTGCTTGGAATACAGTACCTATTTTTTGAGATTTTTCCATCATTCGGATCAGCCATGGCCGAGTGGTTAAGGCGTCTGACTAGAAATCAGATGTGATCATCACGCGCAGGTTCGAATCCTGCTGGCTGCGATACGCACTAGCAAGAGGTCGAGTTTTTCAGATGGGTAAGTAGAGTATGTTTTTTCTCAGATTTGTTTCGAATATTGAGTTATTGCGGTTTTTGTATCTGATTTTTGAAAAAAAAAGATGTCGCGTTGAATCAAAATTTTAAAATTGACATATGCATTTACCTTGAAATACAGTACCTATTTTTCGAAAATTTTCCATCATTCGGAGCAGCCATGGCCGAGTGGTTAAGGCGTCCGACTAGAAATCAGTTGTGATCATCACGCGGAGGTTCGAATCCTGCTGGATGCGATACGCACTAGCAAGAGGTGGAGTTTTTTAGATGGGTCAGTAGAGTATGTTTTTTATCAGATTTGTTTCGAGTATTGAGTTTTTGCGGTTTTTGGATCTGATTTTTGAAAAAAAGATGTCGCGTTGAATCAAAATTTTAAAATTGACATATGCATTTACCATGAAATACAGTACCTTTTTTTTGAGATTTTTCCATCATGCGGAACAGCCATGGCCGAGTGGTTAAGGCGACTGACTAGAAATCAGATGTGATCATCACGCGCAGGTTCGAATCCTGCTGTCTGCGATTCGTACAAGCAAGAGTGGCAGTTTTTTAGATGGGTCAGTAGAGAATGTTTTTTCTTAGATTTGTTTCGAGTATTGAGTTATTGCGGTTTTTGTATCTGATTTTGAAAGAAAAAAGATGTCGCGTTGAATCAAAATTTTAAAATTGACATATGCATTTACCTTGAAATACAGTACCTATTTTTTGAGATTTTTCCATCAATCGGAGCAGCCATGGCCGAGTGGTTAAGTCGTATGACTAGAAATCAGATGTGATCTTCACGCGCAGGGTATAATCCTGCTGGCTGCGATTCGTACAAGCAAGAGGGGCAGTTTTTTAGATGGGTCAGTAGAGCATGTTTTTTCTCAGATTTGTTTCGAGTATTAAGTTATTGCGGTTTTTGTATCTGATTTTTGAAAAAAAGATGTCGCGTTGAATCAAATTTTTAAAAATGACATATGCATTTGCTTGGAATACAGTACCTATTTTTTGAGATTTTTCCATCATTCGGATCAGCCATGGCCGAGTGGTTAAGGCGTCTGACTAGTAATCAGATGTGATCATCACGCGCAGGTTCGAATCCTGCTGGCTGCGATACGCACTAGCAACAGGGGCATTTTTTTAGATGGGTCAATAGAGTATTTTTTTTCTCAGATTTGTTTCGAATATTAAGTTATTGCGGTTTTTGTATCTGATTTTTGAAAAAAAAGATGTCGCGTTGAATCAAATTTTTAAAATTGACATATGCTTTTACCTTGAAATAGAGTACCTTTTTTGAGATTTTTTCCATCCTTCGTAGCAGCCATGGCCGAGTGGTTAAGGCGTCTGACTAGAAATCAGATGTGATCTTCACGCGCACGTTCGAATCCTGCTGGCTGCGATTCGTACAAGCAAGAGGGGCAGTTTTTTAGATGGGTCAGTAGAGCATGTTTTTTCTCAGATTTGTTTCGAGTATTAAGTTATTGCGGTTTTTGTATCTGATTTTTGAAAAAAAGATGTCGCGTTGAATCAAATTTTTAAAAATGACGTATGCATTTGCTTGGAATACAGTACCTATTTTTTAAGATTTTTCCATCATTCGGATCAGCCATGGCCGAGTGGTTAAGGCGTCTGACTAGAAATCAGATGTGATCATCACGCGCAGGTTCGGATCCTGCTGGCTGCGATACGCACTAGCAAGAGGGCGAGTTTTTCAGATGGGTAAGTAGAGTATGTTTTTTCTCAGATTTGTTTCGAATATTGAGTTATTGCGGTTTTTGTATCTGATTTTTGAAAAAAAAAGATGTCGCGTTGAATCAAAATTTTAAAATTGACATATGCATTTACCTTGAAATACAGTACCTATTTTTCGAAAATTTTCCATTATTCGGAGCAGCCATGGCCGAGTGGTTAAGGCGTCCGACTAGAAATCAGTTGTGATCATCACGCGGAGGTTCGAATCCTGCTGGATGCGATACGCACTAGCAAGAGGTGGAGTTTTTTAGATGGGTCAGTAGAGTATGTTTTTTATCAGATTTGTTTCGAGTATTGAGTTTTTGCGGTTTTTGGATCTGATTTTTGAAAAAAAAGATGTCGCGTTGAATCAAAATTTTAAAATTGACATATGCATTTACCATGAAATACAGTACCTTTTTTTTGAGATTTTTCCATCATGCGGAACAGCCATGGCCGAGTGGTTAAGGCGACTGACTAGAAATCAGATGTGATCATCACGCGCAGGTTCGAATCCTGCTGGCTGCGATACGCACTAGCAAGAGGGTGAGTTTTTCAGATGGGTAAGTAGAGTATGTTTTTTTTCAGATTTGTTTCGAATATTGAGTTATTGCGGTTTTTGTATCTGATTTTTGAAAAAAAAGATGTCGCGTTGAATCAAAATTTTAAAATTGACATATGCATTTACCTTGAAGTACAGTACCTATTTTTCGAAAATTTTCCATCATTCGGAGCAGTCATGGCCGAGTGGTTAAGGTGTCCGACTAGAAAGCAGTTGTGATCATCACGCGCAGGTTCGAATCCTGCTGGCTGCGATACGCACTAGCAAGAGGTGGTGTTTTTAGATGGGTCAGTAGAGTATGTTTTTTATCAGATTTGTTTCGAGTATTGAGTTATTGCGGTTTTTGTATCTGATTTTTGAAAAAAAGATGTCGCATTGAATCAAATTTTTAAAAATGACGTATGCATTTGCTTGGAATACAGTACCTATTTTTTGAGATTTTTCCATCATTCGGATCAGCCATGGCCGAGTGGTTAAGGCGTCTGACTAGAAATCAGATGTGATCATCACGCGCAGGTTCGAATCCTGCTGGCTGCGATACGCACTAGCAAGAGGGCGAGTTTTTCAGATGGGTAAGTAGAGTATGTTTTTTCTCAGATTTGTTTCGAATATTGAGTTATTGCGGTTTTTGTATCTGATTTTTAAAAAAAAAAAGATGTCGCGTTGAATCCAAATTTTAAAATTGACATATGCATTTACCTTGAAATACAGTACCTATTTTTCGAAAATTTTCCATCATTCGGAGCAGCCATGGCCGAGTGGTTAAGGCGTCCGACTAGAAATCAGTTGTGATCATCACGCGGGGGTATGAATCCTGCTGGATGCGATACGCACTAGCAAGAGGTGGAGTTTTTTAGATGGGTCAGTAGAGTATGTTTTTTATCAGATTTGTTTCGAGTATTGAGTTTTTGCGGTTTTTGGATCTGATTTTTGAAAAAAAAAGATGTCGCGTTGAATCAAAATTTTAAAATTGACATATGCATTTACCATGAAATACAGTACCTTTTTTTTGAGATTTTTCCATCATGCGGAACAGCCATGGCCGAGTGGTTAAGGCGACTGACTAGAAATCAGATGTGATCATCACGCGCAGGTTCGAATCCTGCTGGCTGCGATACGCACTAGCAAGAGGGCGAGTTTTTCAGATGGGTAAGTAGAGTATGTTTTTTCTCAGATTTGTTTCGAATATTGAGTTATTGCGGTTTTTGTATCTGATTTTTGAAAAAAAAAAGATGTCGCGTTGAATCAAAATTTTAAAATTGACATATGCATTTACCTTGAAATACAGTACCTATTTTTCGAAAATTTTCCATCGTTCGGAGCAGCCATGGCCGAGTGGTTAAGGCGTCCGACTAGAAATCAGTTGTGATCATCACGCGGAGGTTCGAATCCTGCTGGATGCGATACGCACTAGCAAGAGGTGGAGTTTTTTAGATGGGTCAGTAGAGTATGTTTTTTATCGGATTTGTTTCGAGTATTGAGTTTTTGCGGTTTTTGGATCTGATTTTTGAAAAAAAAGATGTCGCGTT